CTGTCCCCATCATAGGTTTGTGAGATCGAGATCCTTGGGGCTCTTTTAACATCAACCAGCACCCGCTCAGATGGATAACGCTCGCTGTAAATATAACAGAACGCGAGTAACCCGGGTTCGATCCCCGCCGGCACCAATGAAATTGTTAATTGCAATTTTAAGTGCTGATTTACCACGTGCTCGTCGGTGAAGGAAAACATCTTGAGGAAACCTGCATGTCTGAGGAATAAGAAAAAAAAATATTTTGAAGACATGTGAAGTTCGCCAACACGCATTGGGGCAGCGCGGCGGACGATTTCTTGCCCTAAACCCTCTCAGAAATGAGAGGTGGCCTGTGCCCAGCAGTGAGACGTATATAGGCTGTAACTATACTTTTTTAACTTACACGATCTTTAAGCTGCGCACGAAACGCGTGTTCCAGGTGAGCATCGCCATATCCAATGCCTCAAGGAGCTGCTCATAAGTCACTTCCTCACCGAGAACTTCCAGAACTGTTAAGGCCTGCTTGCGCAGGCCTAGTGTGAGAGCAGTCATGGCCTGACTTTTATTCCAGCCGTTCACCTTCATAACAGCTTCGAACTGGATTTTGTAGGCCGACCAGGAAGAAGTCCCGTCGAACGGTGGCACCTTGAACCCACGTAGCGAAGGTGTTGTAGCTACTACGGGAGCTGTAATTCCATCCCCCCAGTTTGAGGTCGTCCAGCGTTTTCTTCACGTTAGCCATCACGTAATCAACCCAATTGTTCACATGGTCGATTTGGGTTTTAGCTTCCTTGATTTGGGTTTCAGCTTCCGACAGGCGGTTGTCATGTTGAGCAACCCTATCCTTCAACTCCCTTATCTCTTTCCCGAAGTTAGCGTGAATGTCCTTCACGAGGAACATCAGATCTTCCTGACAGCGGGCCTGTTCCTCCTGCTGCTCTTTCAACTAACGGGCCTGATCATCTTGTCCGCCCCGCAGCTGCTCTTCCAACTGACGGACCTGTTCCTCCTGTTGGCGAGCCTGTTCCTCCTGTCGGCGAGCCTGTTCCTCCTGTCGGCGAGCCTGTTCCTCCTGTCGGTGCGCCTGTTCCTCCTGCTGCTCTTTCAACCAACGGGCCTGCTCTTCCTGTCGGTGAGCCTGCTCCTGCAGCATCACCATCAGAGCACCTAAGTCAGGTGCCACAGACGTAGGAGCTGCTGACGGGCCGGCTTCCGTGGGCGGCGGCTAGCCCTCAGACATCTGCGGCGTTACACCACCAAATCGTCTCTGGTCCGTCTCCTGCTGACGTTGACTTCGGGTACGGACACCCTCCATTTCGTAGGTATTAGGTAAAATCGACATGATTTTATCCTACTTCTGACAATATTTTGGTTTGTTAAACGGTAAGTTGTTCATCTTTTCTAATTTGAATGTAGAATACATTATATTAGATGCAAAAGTGTTTTTCTGGAAGAAAAAGAAAATCAAGAAAAATTTGTTTCACACAGCCAAACAGGGTTTAACTCGTTCTAGAAATAACATATGATTAGTATTTTATAAATACCGTGTAGTGGCGGTGCAAGAATATCCACTGCCCCATATCATGCCGCGCCTATCGTAAGAGGCGACAGAGGTAATCAAATCAGGAGATGGGCAGCCGCATCTTCCTGTTACGGGCTTAGGGTTCGAGACAATTAAAAACTGCCGAGTGGGTTACCAAAATTGACACTTTAATTACAGAACACTAAATACAACTTAAAACCACATTAATAACAAAACACAATCGTACTTCTGATCACTGTAGTTCAAAAAAGTTCTTCCATGGAAATTTGTAGAAGGATCTTGACTCTCCTAGTTCTGCTATTCGATACTAGAAGGCGCTAGTGTTAATGGTAATGGTAGTGTCGCCATGTATCAGGCATTAATTGTTGCACGTAGCATAGAGCATTAAGTATAATAACGACTAAAAATAACTGCGTTTGCCAACCCACTTGCCAAGCCTGGAAACTATGGCAAACATCCTTCTTATAAGACAATCTATGGGGGAGGACAATGAATTCAAAGCGCAAGTAATAAGGATTTTATAAAGAAAGAAAATAAATAAAAACAAGCACCCTTAGAATTTTTTAATTACGTATTTATTTAATAAGGGTAAATTTTAACTTTTGGAAGAAAAAAGGATAAAAATTCTTGTGGGCTGCTTGCCGCTTCTTTTCTCAAGGACGTAACAGAAGGAACTTATTGAAGTGTTTTGTTAAGGCCAATTTTAAATAAAAAGATTTTGACTTTAAAATAGTAAATCAGGTGTTACTTTGCAGAAATGCATAATATTAAGAGGATAGAGTAAGTCAGCTCAAATTCTAATTTCGCCCCCACTTCCCCGCGCGTCGTATGCTATGTACCGATATGTTTGTAATCACTAATACTGTAAGTAAGAAGGTCGTTAGACACTTATTTCATTAGGTTTATCATATTTATGCCTGTTTCTTAACGCCAAGCCAGCCGCTTCTTATTTTTATCACGGTTATTTCCCATTTTAATTTTACGTCGTACTGTTGCGTAATGTATATTCTGATCGTAAGCGACACAACTTCTCCCTTCAAAAGCCTAAGCGATAATAACGGGCGACAGGAATCAAGCTCAAGACGCCGATAGTTTAGGTAATTTCTTTTTACAGTGAAAATAATGGTATTTAAAAAAAAGTAAATAACATAAGCACTGCTTTATAGTTAGTTCAGTTAGTATGCAAAGTTTCATGATCTTATTTAAAGTATTTTATGAATAACAGCGGTTTATTGTTTATTTTGGAGGTAACTGGATTTTTTTCTATCGAGAAAATTTTACGAAATCGTGTTTTCGTCTAACATAATCATTAACATTAATCCTCAACTTTAACATATATTTTTTTCAAAATTAATGCTGCAATATTTTCGGCATAACGAAGGATCTTGCTAAGCCATTTGACATTATATTTCCCCTTAAGGACGTTAAAAATTTATTACTTTAGATTCGCGTAATAAACTTTATCTTCAAACTAGGTAAGACACACGATTTTATTTTATCACGCAGATTATAACTAATTCATAAGATCATTTACGTGGTAGAACCACGCCTCAGCTATATTATGGTTGTAGCATGAATGGGTTGGTTCGACCGAAGAAAGGTCACACTCTCACAGAATGCCAGCGTGTAAAATAGAACCGGAGATCTTTTTTACTGTAAACGAGGCATTTTGTCACATTCTTCAGGGGAGACAACGCATCTGCACGTTAATTTTTAATCGAATATAAATGGAGAGAGATATCTATGGGCCACAGTATCCACTTACCATCAGGTGGACTGTGTGATCCTTTACCACGCCCATTTAAAAACTTTTTTAATTGATAATTTGACTTTGACTAGGATAAGGAAATGACGATGAACGTTTCAATACTGGACACAAATAATGGATGAGACCAAAAAATATACTAGATTAAAACCAAGGCCTGCGTTTATCGCAAATATTTTGCTGGGAGATTAAATTAGAATAATCTATTCTGTGGAATAGCAATTTATACTTGTTTAGAAAATTTTTATATTATTAGGTAAACACTGATGTATGTGTAGTAAAAATCAAATCGACTTTCAATACGCTTTATATCTTACTAGCTGTTCCCAGTGACTTTATCCGCGTGGAATTAGTTACGACTGAATTTCATGGGCTAATTCTTTTTCCAAAATGAAAGTAGCTTTAGTCACTCCTTATAACATCAGCTATTTGACAGTGAAAGTCCGGTCAAAATCAGTCCAGCCGTTTCTAACAAACAGATACAGACAGACAAATTTAGTAAATTATTTTTTTGTTATAGTACCGTAATGATTTCATATACATTTAGTAAAAAGCTGTTGTTTTGAAATTATAAACAGACACTTCAGTTTTATTTATTTGTATAGATTAGACTGATCTGTATGTATAAATACAGACAGATCAATTTGTAAGTATTTACGAGTGTAAATTTAATGGATTGTTGAATCTAGTTTCATCCACGATCAGTGAATGTATGTATAACTGTAAAAAAAGTTACAGCTTATATACATCCCACTGCTGGGCACAGGCCTCACCTCATTTCTGTGAAGGTTTTAGGGCAAGGAAGTGTCCGCCACGCTGCCCAAATGCGTGTTGGCGAACTTCACATGTCTTCGAAATATTTTTTTCTTATTCCTCAGACATGCAGGTTTCCTAACGATGTTTTCCTTCACCGCCGAGCACGTGGTAAATCAGCACTTAAAATTGCAATTAACAATTTTATTGGTGCCGGCGGGGATCAAACCCTGGTTACTCGCGTTCTGTTATATTTACAGCGAGCGTTAACCATCTGAGCTACCACGGCTCTTAATATAAATGTAATGATTATAAAATTTAGGATCCATCCATCCGCCAGACGTCTGAGAAGTCAAAAATATTGCAGATCGATAATACAAGACACTTATGACAATAAATAAATGCCTTTGATCTAGTTTTGAATCTACACAGCTCATGATAAGCATCCATGTTCACGGAGGGGAATGAGGTATTCAACGTCTCAATGTCATACATGACCACGGCTACCTCCAGATTAAAATTATTAATTTTTGTATCTTAAAGTCTTGCAGTTGTGTGCTTGGGTTGGGATTTAATTTTATTAATCACAGGATTCCAAGCAGATGGTAACATCCAGTCTTCTCTATTGAAGTTAAGATGTTTTTTAATTTCAATAGCCTTGCGAATCATCCTTGGAAGGAATCGGTGTTATTTAGCGAGGATTTGTACGTGTTCACAGACCGCAGACCCTGGAACCTATATATTTTATTTCATGCGTTTAGTTTAAGCAAAAATTCATTTGCTCACATTTTGACGTAAAAATACCTGTCGAAGAGCTGTCGACGCTACAAGCAAATATATATTATTCAAAATCCCTCGGGCCTCAATCATTGGACAAACCATATGTTTGAAAGCTGTTTTTACATTATCACTTATTTAAAATAGATTGCTAGTCATGCTTTTGTAGCGCCACGAGGCATGTTCGGCGTTGTTCACTTCGGCATCACTAACATTGTGTGTCGCAACTTTACTGATTTACCTACTACATGGTCTAAATCAGAAACTGAAATTCTAAAAGTATGTTAACTGCTATTCGGACTGATTTATAAACGCCGGATGTAATCAGATTTTGACAGACAGACTGAGACCTTATGGTAAGAGTAAGTTTGGTAAATTAGGGTAAGTGGCTACAGGCCATTGATACTTGCAGCCAGCTACAGAAAGGAAGTCCTTGAATACACACGAAAACTTTAGGTTCCTTTTTTAGTGATCAAAAACATTAAAAGTAATAACTTGTCCTATTAAAAGATAAAAAAAAAAACAAAAAACAAAACCGCGCAACAGAATTTAATAGATAAAGAGTTCATAAGATAAAATGTTAATTTTGTTACTTAATTTTTTCATTATTGACATTATGTTTCTAATATTTTATAACTTATGTTGTATAAATCTTTCACTTTTTACAATATTGGTTAATAATTTTACCTTTAAAGGTTTTTAGCATTTAAAATTAAATTTATTCGTAATATTTGTGAACATGCATTATTGTAATCACCTCTGGTTGTCCTTAAATAAATTAAAAAATCAAACATCACACACCTTTCATCCAAAGTCGGGGTGATCTATCTTTGTATGAAATTTGAAACTAAACTAACTACTAAACTAAACTAAACTTGCATACAATCGCTGTTTCTTTCTTTCACGTGCTTTAGATTGCTATTATAAAAATTAATTAGCATATCAGAGGAAACTGAAAATGTTAAATATATACTTATTTTGGGTTGCACCTTACAGTAAATATATATATATATATATATATATACATATATATATATAAAATATATATATATATATATATATATATATATATATATATATATATATATATATATATATATATATTACTCTGAGGTTTGCACAACTAATTGACGTACTAATTGATTAAAATTGAGTCATTAAATATGATCAGAAATCTTCTGTCAAGGGAAGCCATAAATTAAAAGAAGGAATAATGACATTTGTTTGTCAACTTCTTTCATATTGACAAAAAATTCTCAAATTATTTCATAGGTTTAGATTTAAATATTGTATTTATTATTGTTTTTTGGTTACGTATGTGAAGAATAACTATCCGACAATGACATATCCCAATATATAAAAATTAATATACTTGTGTATTCGTCTTTTATGGGCTGCCGGTTTGATTGCCATAGAACTTCAAGTCAACAAGTGAAAGCAATCACTTCCGCGAAGGTTACAGGCATGGTTGCACCCAGTAGGTGACTCTGTTGTAGAATCCAGATATCACCTATAAATCAATAACAACTGATTTATTATAAATAATCATGTGCAAAATCAATATAAAATATCAATAATATATATACAAGAATTGCTCGTTTAAAGTTATAGTATAAAAAAGGTTTGAATTTCGCGCGAAAAAAGTATCCCGTGCACCCGCTGTGGCGGTAGTAGTATACCTTTATAGACGTGTAGTAATTATGTTTTGTACCCAGAGCGGTAGGTGGAGAACCACCTACCGCCTAGTCTAGTGTACTGGTACTATACTGGTACAGACTTCCATTTGGCACGATCTAGACCCCTCTCGCTTCTTTCACAATCACCCTACATTTGTAAAGTAAAAAGTTAAATATTAGCTTTGGCATGGCCTTTTTCCCATAACGACATACCCCTTTCGCACCCGAATGAAACGATCGTGAGTTTCTTCTTTGAAAAATTATAAGTTCGCGCCAAATCCGTTTCTCCGCGTTAAACCGACATCGCATGGTCGTGCGCTCATCAATTTATCCAATAGGTAACGGTTTTGGCGTCTAGCGCGATCAGTACCCGCGAGCGCACCGACAAGATGGCTGCGTTTCTTGACCCCGTCACTGGACGCCGTAAGTTATATTTATTTTTCTTGCAAATTTCGTAAGAAATCATTGATATTATGATTGTATTACATCATTAAGTATATGATTCATCTGAATGACTATAACTTTCTTCTATATTTTTAGTAATTACCAACTTAATTTACGACAAAATTGTCAGCTCACTGTCGTGATATCTGGGTTGCAATTGTACCAACGCATGATCGTGAGTTCATTCAGTTTTAAGTTATTTTTCGATTTATTTCTTTAACTACAGGCATGCCATTGAACAATGACCTCATCTTGGGCATCCTCAATGATGGTAACTGTTCCGAGTTGGACTTCGACGACGACGATGAAGAGTTTATTCCTCTGCAGCTGGAAAATGATGAAGAAGGTGAAGTTGAGATATCCTCTCCGCCTCGCTTATCTGCGGCAGCTGTGAAATCGGAAAATATTAAAGGTAAAGTGTCTAAAAGGAAGTCTACATCTGATAACATGAATGAGAGTGAAGCAGGCCCATCTTGTTCTAAAAAGTCAAAACAAACACCTTGTTCAAAAGTAACACAAAAATCAAAGGCTGTTATAGTGAAATTGCCTGCTCGTAAAAGGTTATGGAAGAAAACTGATTACATCGATAAATCACATAACTACTCAGGTCATCCACAACCAAATGAAATAAGATCGCCGGTGGAATATTATAATGATTATTATAATGATAATTTTTACGAGCGCAAGGCATTGTGTACAAACTTATACTATTTAAGAAAAACTGGGCGAGTTTTAAATACAACCAAACCGGAAATAAAAAAACTGATTGGTATCCATCTACTGATGGGTATACTATCATATCCCAGGATCGCAATGTACTGGCGAAGAAATATTAAAGTTGACATGATTGTTTCTGCAATGACAAGAGATAGACTGACAACTTTAAGAAACAGTTTGCACGTCGTGGATTCCGACTCTCCACCCGTCTCGGAAGCAAATAATCCTCTCTGGAAGGTTCAGCCGATGATCGACATTGTGAGAGAAGGCTGCAACAAAATTCTAAGGACCCCGGGCAGGTATTCGATTGACGAACAAATGATACCTTTCACTGGCAAGTGTCATCCTCGCCAGCTTGTAAAGAACAAGCCTCGCCCAGTGGGTCTTAAGAATTTCGTGGTTACTACTAGTGAAGGGCTAATGGTGGATTTTGAAATTTATTATGGCAACAATCGCGCTCTTTCGCATCCTTTGGGGCTTGGACCGGCTGTAGTTCTTCGCTTGAGTCAAAGTGTTCCACGCGGGAGCTGCTTTGTTTTTGGCCGATATTTTACAACGGTTCCCCTGTTGGAAGAATTAACGAAAATGGACTATCATGGCACAGGGACAATTATGCTTAACCGGGTACCAGATCGACAGCAGCTTAAGTTCAAAGATGACAAAAAAATGACACGAGGAGAAATTGAACAAAGGGTATCAAACGACGTAGTTTTGGTAAAATGGAAGGACAGCAAGGCGGTATTGACAGCATCAAATTGTACTGGGGGCACGGCAACCGACATAGTAAAGCGGTACAATAAAACAGAAAAATGCTACGTCGATTTTGGTGCTCCAAAAGTTGTAACATCCTACAACTCTTTCATGGGCGGGGTGGATGTTTTGGACCAATCTATGGAATATTACCGTACATTCATGAAGACCCGTAAATGGACTCTCAAGGTCATACTACACTTTATAGACCTAGCAATGGTAAATTCGTGGCGGCTCTACAGATCTGACTCATTGGCTAAAGGCATTCCTAAAAATCGAATATTAGATCTCCTTTCATTCAGATTTGAAGTTGCTGAGACACACATCTGCACTCCTGACAGAGATCGGCGCGATTCATCCCCATTACTTGAAACGCAGGCACAAACTTCGGGCAGATACAAACCCGCTAATCATCCGTCTGTGGGAAAGAGGTTTGATGGTTACGAACACTTTCCTATTTTTGACGACTTGAAGGCTCCTCGCAAATGTCGCTCAGAGATTTGTTCATCTCGCTCTAAAATTAGGTGCCGTAAATGTGATATTTACTTATGCTTGAGTCGTGATAAAGACTGCTTTTTTTTGTATCACCAAAGAAACTAGTCTTATTTAATAACGTTTCCTATGTAAAGACTGTGATTTAGAAAGATATTTCAAAAGATTATCTAAGTATTAAGTTTTATGTTATTTTTGTACAGCCAGAAAGGCTTTTGAGTTGATTTCTATGTTTTTGTGTTAAGTTTTTGTTTCCTAAGAAGCATGAGTTTATCTCATTGTTTATTTCGTAAAAATATTTTTTTTCCTTTCTTTTAATTTCTAAGTTGTCTTCTGAAAGAGCATTTTTATTACAATGAAAACAAAAGACTGAAATTTTGTACCTAAACTGTAATGTTGACAATAATTAAATAAGTCTTTTCTAATAACCAGATGCGTTTTATTTCATTATAAATATTTTTTGAAGTAAGCTGACACCATCAATGCATTAAAATCTCATCAAAACTTAAAAACGCACGATCGTGAGTTGGTAGAAGTCAGCCCTAGAGCTCACTATCGTGCTATCGACTTTCCAGAGTTCTGGTGTACGCTGGATTTTTTTTACTATTTTTTACCTTAATATTAACACTTCTTTGCCAAAATATTATAGTTTTCATTTCAAATCAAAGGAACAAAAAATCTCAGGTGCGAAAGGGCTAACTGTATGTTTTCAGTTTGAAACGACTTTTAAATATTAACATAGTATTTTCGATATAAAAACATTTGAAACATTATGCATAGATATGTGTTAAATGTATTTACTCATATAACTTTTTAAACCGTCGGTGGGGGTGTACCCACCGGCGGAAACCATTAAAAAAACCTTATATTATATACTTATAAATGAATTAACTAAATTAGAGTGACAATAAAAATGTATAATAATATGAACAACTCATGATTAACAAAGTTATTAAGCTGTGTGAGGCAATTCGTCTTAGGGTCACAGCTCATTAGAGCCACCCGGCACCCGACCCTCACCGCCTCGCCACGAGCGGTTCGTATTCTTGTATGGACTTGTATGGGCCTGCGCTCACTATATCAACTCCGTACCATCACCGGATCGCCTCGCACGCGAGGTGTGTACTAAATATAGTTCATTGCTATTGTCTTACTATTGTGTCTTAAATCGGATAGTGAAACTGTTAATTTATTTCTCCATCTGTAGTATGGCCTGTTCGCTTAGATACATTCGCTTTTCTATCGCACAATCTTGGTATGCGCTGCATCCTACCGACGTCGCCGTCACGGCATCAGAGGTCCGCAGGAGAATTTGGCATTTTAAAACGAAGCATCTTGGTGAAAGGTTCTTTGCGTTTATTATTTAAATTAGTATTTCATTACAATAACCATAAGAATAAAACGGTATTCTACTTTGTTCTTAGAACAGAAAAACATATATTTAATAAACAGAATGAAAAGTAATAAAATAAAAGAAAAATTATAATTGCACAGAAATTGTAATAATATTGTCTTATTATTACGATTTCTGTGAATAAATACGCCTCCTTGTATACCGATACTATCTTAGTGAACAGACTATACCTACCTTCGCAAACCTTCTCTAAAAGTGGCCTGCTGTGTTTTATATTAGTTATAAGTATTCGAGACATAGTATAATACGACTGATTTAGAAACTATTTTTGTTTTGCAAAAGAGGGCCCAAATAGAAGTTCGCGCGTAGAGCGTGAAAAATAAACAATTATTGTTTATTGACTTGTAAATGGTGATGACACTCTGTAGACTTATATAACATGTACATAATATACTGATTTATTATATTTACATGAATACTACACGTTAAAAGAAACTAATTTTAAAGACGTTAAAATTAATTAACTAACATCTGCGTGATAAGATAAAATTACGTGTCTTACCTAGTTTGAAGAACATCTCACGCCCTTCCTCAATTGCGGGAACTATCATTAAACCTAGCGGTCACCCACTGCAGAGTCCATTCTTAAGCATGCCTTGTTTAGATGCGAAAATCGTGTCGTATTATAGACAGTTTTGCATAATTCCTCGTGTTTTGGTGTTGGGAGTAGTGGTGTCGGGGATAGTGCACGCAATTGAGGAAGGGTAGGAAGTTCTCTTCAAACTAGGTAAAATAATTTTCGAAATTTTTAATATAATGAATTTCCGCAAAGTACCTAACACCTTGTTCTGTTAATTATGTGAAATTAATAATATTAGTGGGCGTGATGACCTGGTAAGATATGCAGGAAGTCGATGGATGCAGGTGGCTCATGATCGTGCTTTTTGGCATATCTTGGAGGAGGTCAGTGTTCAGCAGTGGACTTGTGAAGGGCTGTAATGATGATGATGAATAATTTTACGGCCGATGTTCCGGGAAGTCTTAAGTATGTACACATACCCAATATCGTCCCAACCATTACATCAAATTTGATAGACCACGAATCCTCGCAAAAATACACTGATTCCTACCACGGATGATTCCATGCTATTGAAATTCAAAAATATCCTAATTTCAATAGAGTATATAGCTGAATGCTACCCATATGCTTGGTTTCCATTATTAAAAAAATTGAACCCTATCACAAGCATATCTGCAAGATTTCCGGATTGCGCGCGTTTTTGCGTAGATCACACCAAAGATTAATATTTTAAATTTTAAGATAGCCTTCGTTAACTATGACAGCAGAACGCTTAACACCTCAGTTCCGCTGCTGAAGTCAAAAAGGCTAGTGCTTCCAAGCACTCATTCCTCCAGGCCCCATGGCCTCCATGAACCTTATACTGGGTTCCTTTCCGAATGTGAAGTTGGACGCCGCGGAGCAAGGTGAGCCAAGTGTTCTGGTGCGCTTTACCTGAAAAGAAGAAGGGAAGGAGTTGTCTTCTCCCAAAGAGGAGCCGTCATAGAGCTGCCAGCGCTGGCGCCAGCATGGATGTGTAAAAAAGCGTTTCCGTGTCCCGCCAATATGCGGCAAAGGTAGAACACCATGGGGTTTTAGCCAGTTCGAAGTACGGTGTGTAGTGAGGAATTTCACTTTTTTTTGTAGAATAGAGTGACAAACGAGTGCACAGTCCAACTGACAATAAATAGATGCTGTGTGTGGCCCTCATCTTCTTCTTCTTCATTTATCCTCGATTAAGAATCAAAATGCAGATGCGTTGTCACACCTGAGGAATAAGATGTAATACCTCGTTTCCAGTAAAAAGGGTCTCCGGTTCTCTACACTAACCATGTGAAACAAAGTAGCATTAAGCTGCTATTTTAGGCTGATATTCTGTGAGAGCGTGGTTCTGCCCCGGCAGAGCTGACCTTTCGTTCTACAACTATAATATAGCTGCAGCGTGTCTCTACTACGATGAAATGTTTACTTCTTCGGTTTCTTCTTGACCGGCTCGTAAAATTCGACTGCCTGAACGTTGTAGCGAGTACTTGCCTTAATCGTAACGCTTCAATTAAGGAGTGCACTCCCAGACATATCTTAATTTTGATGCTGCTGATATTTGAGAGAACGCTCTGCTACGCTTCCACAAATGTATTTATGGTATTGGTTTCGACAACGCACACCTTTGCATTTGGCATTTTCAGTTGATGTATTTTATTAGTTAATTTGGCTGACAATACTTTCCCTATCTTTCCTTTCCCGTACATGCCTATCACGTAAGTGTGAGCAAGAAACTGTTAGGCACACGTTTGATTGTCTAATCATCGGTGCGCCGTGTAAAGAAAAGAATGATTGCGAAAATTTTATAGAACGCACGCGGTCATCGTCGCAATATTTAATCGTTAGATGTTTGCTTGGTGCACATGACTTTATTGAGAAGAAATCAGAACGGATTTATTGCGAATAAATTAAGTGTCATCATAAATCATTATTTACACAGCAGCAGTCGTCACGACGACGACGACGACGACGACGAGCAGACGATACGAGGCAAGTCGCCCTTCTCAAGGTACGTACTGTGCTTATCAATCCTTCCCTTGAACTGCTTTATTTATTATTCTTAATCCGCAGCTGCTCATCTCTTTTCGTGTCAGCCAACGAATTAAATTAAAATTACGCTTAAAAATAATATATTAAAATAATATATTCGGCCACCTATTGCGGTTTCCATTGTTACGATCTATCAAATTGTTTTCAACTTTTAAGTACGGTGACGTAATCTTACAAAGATATTACTACAGACAAACGGGCACGCATCGTACCTGAAAGTAAGAGGATTCTCGATTAAGAATGATGACATGCATGAAAGATGCATCCTTAATCCTCAGAACAAAGATAGAATGCTCCTTTACCATTAAAATATATCGACCGTTATTTAACTCACTATGCGTAGTATGCTGGTATGAGATCGTGGTCTCTTCCCAGTTGAGCATGCCCGTTTTTGCAGTAGTTCTAATACAGCTAAACCGTGGATAATCTATAAATATAAAAGAATTAAAGTGTGTGTCTGTAGGTATTAAAAAACATAACTGGTTTCTATTAAGTTCAGGAGGTTATTTGTATGATATTAAAACCCAATTAAAACATTTAAAAAAAATTGTATCGTTGTCTGCCTGTCCGTCCATCCGGTCTACTCTTTGAGTGACTGAACCGGTTGTGACGAATCTTTATGGGCAGATAGAGAGCAATGCCGGGAGAGATCTCGGCTATATTTTATCCAAAAACATTTTATAAACGAAACATTTATAAAATATCTTATATACATATAACGCCACGAGTGGCCTCGTACCGGTAGGTGTAGTGTAGGGCGACCCCCCACTAGATGGAGTGACGATCTGGTAAGACATGCAGGAAGTCGATGGATGCAGGTGGCTCAGGCCCGTGCTATGTGGCATTACTTGGGGGAGGCCTATGTTCAGCAGTGGACTCGTGAAGGGCTGTAATGATTATGATGATGATATAACGCCACATTAATAGATCCTATTCAGGCGAAGCCGAGACGGGTCACATGTATATAATATATATTTTTCCCTCATTGAAGGTGCCAGTGTAAGAATGGAATAGAATTTTTTTTTCAATATACATTACAAGATTACTTATTGAAAGTCATGTAAGCTTTACCACTAGTTCAGAAAAAACCTCAGTCCTGGCAAG